TCGAAAAAGTGACAACAGCGGACTGCGGCAACAGTAGAAGCAGTAGCAGCAACAGCAAAAATTGGAATAAAACCTGAACAATGACATTTATTTTTTTTCTCTTCTCTCCTCTATTCAGCTCTATAAGCTTTTGGCGTAAAGGTCAGATTAAGTACTTTTTTTCGCTTTTGTTTTTTCACTTAAACCATTATTATAGTGGATTTTAAAATGCTTATCGCCGCAGTGAATAAATTGGATTTATGTGTGCAGATTGTCCTACAGCAATCGCGGTATAAGCACTTGAAAATCAGTGAGCAGCAAAAACGATACTGTTTAGGGCAATAAGGTTGAAGGACCATGAAAACTGGCCGCGAGAGGGATGATGATGATGATGATGATGAGAAGGAGGAGGAGAAGGAGGAGGGAACGGAGGGGATAAGTGAGGGGACAGGATTTGTAATGAGGGATTGAGAAGGGAAGGTGTGGTTGAAATTTTTCTGCCAACAATTTCTGCTTAATTTATCAAAGTGTATTTGGTTGAAATTTTGGCGAACACAGAAAAATTTTTATCTTACTTTTTTTCTTTTTGACACCAGTTACAAATAGTAATAACAGTATCATTATTATTGCTGTTATTGTTATTATTATTATTGTCTTTATTATTGGTATTATTATTATCATTGGTATTATTATTACTATTACTGCTACTGCTATTATTGATGTTGTTGTTGGTGGAATGTTAAAGTAGCAAGTGCAAAAGCAAATATGTTTGATGGTTGACTGAGTGAATTACACGAAGGGTACCCTACTCTGTCGCTGTTGTTGTTATTATTGTTGTTGTTGGTTACCTAAGAGATAGTTTACTGGCAGAAGAAAAAAAAACATTAGTTGAAAACCATCAGCTTTCTTTTTCTTTTTCACTTATTTCTATCCAAGTAAATCACTTCAGCTTATAGTGCAGCGGGAATAACTGCATATTTCCATCGACTGTTTTTATTGTCAACAGTTCTTCATTGGTTTTTTTTTCTATCTGTTTTTGTTTTTTTTTCTTTATTTGTATTTCTGAACTTCGATTTTTACCGTTTAAAATGTTAAGAAAAAGGGCGAGAAAGAAATTGAAGAAAGAAAACGTTTACAAATTTACATTGTTTAAATGGTACTTGATTGGTGAGTCGGGAAGAGGGGAAAAAAAAAATTTTGCATTGTATCTTCATCTTACTTGTCATCATCTTGTTTAAACCTCGATTTCTGATGATGCTGATGAAAATGACAATGATGATGATGATGATACCTCTTAGTTTTGCTGTAGCCACTTCTGCCGATATGGTGATACGCTAATGATGATGTTTTGAATGCCATCGTCGTGTTGACATCTTCTTCCCAATATCTGTCATTAATTTGAAACTTTTATTCTTTGCTTTATGCATTTGTTCATTTCATTGATGCTTTTTTCTGTATAGCTGCCTAATAGCCACTATATTTTAGTGAAACCTTAGAACGGCAACAGCACAAGAACTCTTTCTAAAAAAAAAAAAAAAAAAAAAAAAAAAAAAAAA